ATGCGTACCACTTTTTTTTAATTTTTTAGGTTTCTAGAATAAATTAGTGGAAAAAATTGTTAGTAGAAAGAGAGAGATTTCAAATGGCCTCATTATATGAATCCTATCTTTAAATTAATATTACTAAATTTATGTTAAAGACCATCATGTTATAAAAATAAAAAATATAATTAGACCATTTATTCCTAGGTTGTATCAAGAAATACCTTTTATTTTTTTGACAAGAAATACTTATTGTGTTATTTTTTATGTTTTTTTTTACAAAAAAAATATGATACTTGTTAATTATCTTTTTTCTTTTTTTTGACAAAAGAAGAAGATGTTGTACTACTTTTTTTTTTTTGCTTGTTGTATTACTTCTTTTTTTTTTATAAGAAAAATAAAAAAATAATGTTGCCAAAGTACATTTTATTTTTTTATGCCTTTTGTTTTATTTTTTTGCAAAAAATACTTGTTATATTATCTTGTATTTTTTTTACAAGAAAAATAAAAAAGTGTTGTATTATCTTTATCTTGAAAAACCTTTTATTTTATTTTTTTCTATTTTTTTACAATAGTATTTTCTGCCTTTGTTTATTTTTTTGACAACAAAAATAATTAGGACGCCTGCTAAGGTGTTCGAACTCTAGACGTCGACCGAAAAATCAGAGATGTCAACCAACACCGCCACGTCGCCTAATGTGATTTTATTAGCTTCTACAATAATATATATTCAATCGTCTTGCTTTAATAATTTTTTGTACGAATTATTCCACATCGAAGGATGAGCGTCGCTTTATGCTCTATAAATTCCTGTATAATAGATGTTGCATTGCGCGTGTAGAAAAGCGAGGGGGCAAACATGTGAGGTGAGTTACCATGTGTGGAGGATTTTTAGGTGCCACGTGTTGCTCCCGTGAGGCGGCCACGTGTAAACCCAAAAATTACTAAAATGCACTGGTTTTTTCGGTGAGACTCGCGATTTACTATTGGAAATCGCCCGGTTCTCTCTAGACACGGGCGATTCTCGAGTTTTTTGTGGAACCGGCTCGGTTGTAGACGATTCTCGAGTCGAACGGGCGAGTCCGGCTCGACTCGGCGAGTTTTCAAACCCTGCGTAAATCTATTGCGTAGTGCTTCACACATACACACGGTCGCCAGTGTGCTTTGAGGCTTTTGATAGGCACTGGCCTTGCAAGACACCACTCTCTCATGTGACTTTCTAGCGAGAGGGCATTAGACTACCGAAGGGGTCCCAATGAGTAGTGCCTTATATAAGTTTTGGAGGAACGATTACCCAAACACATATACTTCTAACTCTTATCTTATCATATAGAGTAGGGAAAGATCACAGCTGTCGGCACAAATATCTCATCATATTATAACAGAAACATATCTCCATGCGCATATATCTTATTGAAAGCATGTTACCACACATATCTCATAAAAAACATGTTATCATGCACACATATTATCAGAAGCATGTTACCATACACACATATCTCATCATAAGCATGTCACCATGTACATATCATATAACAGAAGCATGTCTCTATGCGCAAATATCTTATCAAAAGCATGTTACTATGCATACATATCTTATCATAAGCATTTTATCATTCATATATATCTTATCAGTAGCATGTTACCATGCACAGATATCTTATCAGAAGCATATTACCATGCACACATATCTTATCAGAAGCATGTTACAATGCACACATATCTTATCATAAACATGTTATTATGCACACATATCTTCAGAAACATGTTACCATGCACACATATTTTATTAGAAGCATGTTACCATGCACATATATTTTATCAAAAGCATGTCACCATGCACATATATTTTATCAAAAGCATGTCACCATGCATGAATCATATAACAAAAGCATGTCTCCATGCACACGAATCATATTAGAAGCATCTCATATATATAATCATAAGAAACATCAACATATGCAGAGCATGTTATATATATAATAACCAGAAATATCACTGTCATATTATCATGTTTATCAACTCAAGAGACATTATCATGTCAATAACATATAATAAACATCACTATATCATATTATCATGCTTTTCAACTCAAGAGACATTATCATATCAATAGCATGTTATATATCAATGTAATAGACATCACTGTCATATTATTATGCTTATCAAATCAAGAGATATTATCGTGTCAATATCATATATCAATGTGATAGACATCACTAAGTCATATTATCATGCTTATCATTTCAAGAGGGATTATCATATCAATATCATGCTATATATCAATGCAATAGACATCACTATATCTTATTCCTGATTTTTTCATGATGAACACTGTCCACCTTTAAGGACATATCATTAAATTCAACTATCATTTAAACCTGCAACAAATTTCTTGATAATCTAAACTCATAATAAGACAACTTTCATATTGGAAGTAACCTTAGATATTGGACTGAAGTTTGTCAGACTATTTGATTTTCCTGAATGAAATTTTTGTTTTGCGCAGCAAAAAATCCAGGGTGACACTCTACTAGAAAAATGACCATAACTTTCAAACCACAAGAAATATTATTATGAGTCAAAAACTTATTTTAAACTCATATATCTAACATTTCAAAGTAGTTTAGCCTCATTCTCGTAAATTTGGTTAGTCAAAAGTTTCACTCAAAAATATATTAAATCCTTGGATTTTCATTTCACATACCTCACATGCTTTAGCAATTAGTTAATAGCTTTCAAATTACATGAGATATCTATGTGGAAATACATTCAACATCCTATTGGCCCACCAAAATTCATAGTCTAAGGCAATGTTTAAGGTCCCCTAACAATCTCTCAAACATGGACTACAATTCTGGAATCAGAATACACTTTAACAGAATTTTAGTAAGCATGCACCCACACTCACATATACACATACACACTTGAATTTTACATTTGAATTAGATAAAGAAATATGCATTAATATACGCATAAAACAATGGAAACCAAATCTACTTACATTGCTCCAATCGAAATCCCCAATATGAAATATTCTACAAGCTCTACTTTGGTTGTCAAGCTTCAAGTGCATTGGGTTCAAATTTCAACGGTTTAAGCTTATGGGGTTAATGGGCTATGAGAGAAGAAGAAGAACAAATGGGAAAGATGGGCTAGTAAGGGAGTTTAGGGGTGAGGAAAGAGAATTAAACTCAATTTATGAGTGGATGGGGGTATATATAAGCATAGAGGAGTGGAAACATGCATGTGCCACATGACACTCAAGTGATCATGTATGAGGCGAGAGAAGGCATGCATGAGGAACACAATGATGGAGGTGGAAGCATACATGTGACACATGACACTCGTGTGATCATGCATGAAGAGAGAAATCATGCAAGATGAATACAATGATACGGGTGTATGCATGCATGTGCCACATGGTACTCAAGTGATCATGCATGAGGAGAGAGAAGGCATGTATGAGGAACACAATCATGGGGTTGGAAGCATACATGTGCCACATGGAGAGAGAAGGCATGCATGGAGAGAGAGAGTGCACGTGTGCAATCATTGTGTGGGGGGCATGCATGATGTAATAATGTGTATTTGGATGGGTGTGTTTTTATAGGGATTCATGCGTAGGGCATTGGGATCCATATAGAAAAATATTTGGACTACGGATCATGACTTTTTAACAGTAGCTCGGATTTGAGTGTTTTGCATATCGCCGGAAAGCTTGCGATCCCTACAATAACATGGTACCACTCAAAACACCAAACAGGGGTTATTCACCAAATCGGAAAAGAAATCTAAGGGAAGCATTAATAGGAAAGGATTCAAGATGCAAACATGACAAATGACCTGCAAATTCCCGGACCTTACACACATTGAGTGGGGGACACTATGCAACTCAGTAATTTTGTCTATGTGTTATACACTGGCTATGCATAAATTGAGTGGGTGATGTCAGGTTTGGTCGTGCTAACATAGATTAGTGGTAGATTTGATGGGTTTGGCTGCTACATTCTTGGTATCTGTCATATTTCAACACATCAATGTCATATCCACAAAGGGAATATGATATGCCCTTTCTTGATGGAGCTGCCTCGCTACCATGGAAGTGCTTCTTAAGCATAAATGTTATTGGCTGTAACTTAGTAGTAGGTTTCCAAAAAAATGACCATCCGAATTTGCCCATCTTGTATTCACAATTTGTTTATAGAAAAATGTCTATTATTTATCTTGCTAATCATTAAGAAATTTGTCCAATAGTTCGCGATTATCTTCTCCCACTTTTTACCTTACAAAATTTTCAGAAAACTGAGATTGCAAAAACAATAAATTTATCAAAACATAATTGAAAAAATGAGAAGGCTATTATTGACAGGGAACCCACCTTCCCTTGCATGAACTTAATCAGCCGAGATAGCGAAATGCTTAGCCTATACATCCAAAATCCATTTTCTTTGACATATTTGTTACTCTCTTTGCTTCAACATTCTTTTCTTTGTTATTCAGGCAGGTTATTAATTTAAATAACAAAAGAAAAAGAAAAGTGACTTATATTTTTTAATTGCGTTTCTGCCCTGCTGTGACCTTATGATCCTATGAGTTTAAAGAACCTAAGCATTGCTGCCTTGCTGTGCCTACCATACCTCAACATCAAATTGGAAAATGCAAAATCTCTGCCCCAACACATTCACAAGGAGCTGCCCTGTTGTGCCCTTATGATGCTGTGAGTTTAAAGAACCTAAGCATTGCTACCCTGATGTGTCTGCCATACCTCAACATCAAATGGGAAAATGCAATCCCAGCCCCAACACATTCACAAGGAGCTGCCCTGCTGTGCCCTTGTGATGCCGTGAGTTTAAAGAACTTAAGCATTGCTGCCCTGCTGTGCCTGCCATACCTCAATATCAAATTGGAAAATGCAGTCCCAGCCCCAATACATTCACAAGGAACAAAGAATGATTCTTTGCTTGAATCCTATTTAATGAATTAGTAAAATATGGAGCATTTAATGAAGTAAAAATACGTTCATTACATGTGATGCACAACATCAATATTGCATCCACATTTCAACCTTACAATAATCATTATGTACAACTCCAAAATCACATATACAAAGTTGTCACATGTAAATGCTCCAAAATCTCATATGCAAAGTAGCATTTCTAGCCCTAAAATTGTGTCAACATTACACCAAGAATGATGTTCTCTAACATATAATGATTACCTACTAAATTAACTCTTCTTAATGTACTATTCCTATAATCATGGCCAGTTTGGCTACATGAAGAAACCTTACAGTATCTAGGTTTCTTGGCAACTTCAACATGGGGCTTTAACCTTTTTTCAGGAGGCTGCCCTTTTGTACTAGACAAAACAGGGTTTTTTATATAGACACTTTTATAATGAAGTTCATTTTAATACTCTTTAGTTGCTAAACTTGCAATAGATGTTTCATCAACCATAGGAGACCTCATGCATTCTACTTCTTCAACATGTTCCAAAATTCTTGAAAATTTCTCCATAATGAACTTGTAACAATCATCAAATCTTGCACCTTTTGTACCAGTTGTTGATGTTAGTGATTATATAGTTTGGACATACTCAACATATGCAGCTGATGTGCTCAAGCCAACATTTGATATCAATGATGTAGAGTGTCTCCAACCTTTTGGCAGATATCAGTTTGGAATTTGAATAAAATTCTCCCTGAAGAGAACGTGAATAGAAGTGCCTGCATATGATACCTGTCAACTCGAACCCTTTATAACTGCAATTCATAACATTATCTTTAACCATCAAGGAAACTTTTACTCTTTCTCTTTCTTTGAAAAGTGTGTCACTTCATAGGTTCCATCATTCTTTCTAAATGTTAACTATTGAAAGATGAAATAATTTCTTCTTGTATCTTAGAAAATGTACAAGGAGTTAAGACGTGTGCTGCATAGTCTTCGAAAGGGCACATTGTTCAAACATCCACATTGTTGGACTTTTGTTGCATCAAGCGTTGTTGACCCACTACACAACTGTCATCTACCAAAAAAAGACAGAGCCATAAATAAAGAATAACATGCCAATATATTAAAATATCAAGGAAGACAATGAGATCATTATTTCTTATACCTGATCTATCAATTCACTAAGCAGAATTTGTGAACCCAAGAATTGTTTCCCAGATGCATTGGACTCTAAACGTCAGTTGTCTTCATTCTAGCAAAAAATTGGCTTCTCAAGTATGGTAATACGCAAAACTCTTTTAAATTTAACAAGTTGTTAATATGTCTATTTAAATGCAATGCAAACTTATTGACTAATGCATGTCAGCCTTCTTCAAAATCTTCAATGGACTTAAGATTATATAACTTGTAAAAATCAGTGTCAAACTCATTGTATCTTTTACCAAGGAGAAGGAAAAATCAACCGAATAATTTTGATAATAAGTGCCATATACAAAATGTATATTTAATGTTGGGGAGTTCCTTACTGATTGCTTCTTTGAGAGCCAAGTTATTATCAGTTAGGATTGTTTGTTGGCATCTTTCCATTTATTAGACCTACAAATGCCTACAACCATATCATGCTTTATAAACACTAGAAACATATAAGCCTGCTCAAACACACATCATGGGTAACAATATCAAAGAATTCAAAGCTCAAAATTTGTAGATGATCATATACCTTCATTGCCCATGAAAAGGATTGAATTCTTTCGCCTCGTAGTAGAACACACCCAAATAAACAAGTGTCACCATGGTTATTGATACCCTCCCATATGCTGAATGGCATAGGGTAACCATTTGACCGGTAGGTTACATCGAAAACTACCACATCACCGAAAATCTCATATGCACGATAACAAGAACCATGGGACCAAACAATATGTTTTTACCTTCACCAACTGTAAAATGGTACTTAAAATCTTTATCTCTATCTTTCATTTGCTTACATTTTGTTAAGAGAATATGAGCATCAGTGTCGCGGTTCGCATTGTTTATAGCACATACAAAGTTATAGACATCCTTATCTATAAATGGTAATTCCCTTGGTTTAAGACTTATCTCTATTTCAAACAACCGCATCATATCTCTAACACATATACAAACTTTGGAAAATTGTAGAATGCGATGCTTGTAGCATTCTGAAATACTACGATAAGCAGGCAAAAATCCAACTTCTTGGGCTTGAGAACATCATGATTGTGTAAATTATCAAAGGTTACAACGTGTCAATATAAAATATCAGAATCCATGACTTTTGCGATACTCATATGTGCTCCACAATTGCATCTCTTTGATGATCTCTTTCTCCATTATTTGCAGATAATTCTTTGTTTGTTAAATGGCCTGACCTATGGCAAACATAGTATCTTGTAGTAGTTACATTGCCACCAACTTCTTTTCCAATTGTTTGTTGACGACGCACTGAAAACCCCCATGCTTTGGCAAAACTCTTGTAAAATTCATAAGCATTATCATGACTTGAAAATATTTTCCCACTGTATGAAACTAAATCACCAGAAATTGTTTCTCATGAGTTTTCTACAATTGAAGCAAAGTCCTCTGCTAGCATGGTTTCATTTGGAGGAGTTTTCATATGGGATCTACTTATGTACCTGTAAAAAAAGACTCAAGTTTGATTGGGAGTACCTGCAAAAAAAATGACTAAAATAAATAATGTTGATACAGTAGAGATTTTTGGGGCTTGTTCATAAAAATTATAATGGCTAAATAAATCAAAACCACAAAGACATCCACTTGGGTCAAATTGTTCACTTGAAATTGCAAATTGTAGAATTATACATTCTTTTTTTGTTTTGAAAATCAGAACAAGCAAATCATGTCATATATAGCCAACCAAACTATCAATAGAGTTACTAATACATCAGCAACTTGTATGTAATCAATATATCAGTAAATCATATATCAAAAGAGTTAGTAACCATAACAAGTAAATAACACATCAATAATTTTATATATATATATATATATATATATATATATACTAACCAAACTATTAGCCAACTCAAAAGGAAATTGTAGAATCATAAGAGGCCGATCATATATTGTTTTCTAGTACTGATTATCAAGGTAAAGTTCAAAAGCATATTACAGTCATTAAGAATACCCAAAATTGTGCCAAGAACAATGTTGCCCAAAATTGCAGCCAAGAGTAAAGCTGCCAAAAATTGTTGGTTGCCCCTTCAACTATATTGTGCCAAGAATAATGTTGTCCCAAAATTAAAGCCATTACAACCTGAATTTGGGTAAATCATAATTGAAATACCATGCATAAATTTCTCAATGTACCACTAAAAAAAAGAAAAGAAAAAAAGCTAATTTCTAAAACTCATTGAAGCTACAACACTTGCAAAAAGAATAGATCAATGAGATGAGACAAGCTATGGAATAAAAAACTAATCAAAATCGAGTAAAGCATAAATCCATACAAATTGGAACAGATCTTAAGAAATAAGGTATAAATCATATGAGATTAAACTAAAATCATAGCCTAAAAGGTCTAAACCATGAAAATCACATAGAAGGATAAATAAGATGGAACAAGCAAATCGAGAGCAAGCCCACAAGACAACACAACAATAGAACCCCAAAATACTTATGCCAATGCCATGGATGCAAAACCTCAAACCCAAAATTCGAAATAGGATCCAGATGAGACATACCTTGAGCACACCGAGAGAAAATCCTCTTGGGCTTTTAATTCAGAGAAGGAAAAGAGCCGTCTTCTGCTTTAGATAGAGAGAGAGGGGATTGGGTAGGGCGAGGCGTAGAGGGAGAGAGACTTGGAGGAGCGTGAGGTATATATAGAGAGAGAAGAGAGACCATGTGGAGGGAAAGATTCCGAGTTCCCTCCTTTTTTTTGTTTTTGATTTTTAGTTTTTTAAGCAAATGACCATATTGCCCTGACGGATATACTTTGGGTTTTATTAATATAAAGACAAAGGGGGTAAAAATGTGCTTCACAATTTATTTTAACTTGAACATGTTATTTTTTAGGGGTTTTAATTATAGAAAACCTTTTCTAGAGTTAATAATACTTTAAAAAACATAGATTCAAGTTATAATCACTTGTGAAGTACCTTTTTGCATTTACTGCCTTCATATTATTGGATGACCAAAGCCAATATGAAAGGGTAGTTTAGAATTTTAGCTAAAAACTTAAAAATTTAATTACAAAACGAGAGAATTTTGAATTTTGGCCCACCGACTCTATCCCCTCTCTTGCATGCTTCTCCTCTCTCTCTCCCTTTGCCTTTCCCACCCTCTCTCCCTCTAACTCTCATGCCTTTCCCTCTCCCCTATTCTACCTCTCCCCTATTCTATCTCTCCCTCCTAAGAAACGACAAGAAATGCAGGAAACTATCCCATACTCTCTCTCCCACCTTACCATTCTCTCACGCCTTGCCCTCCCTCTCTCTCATGGCCTCTATTAGGGATGTAATGGCAATGATGGAAGACACCCATTTTTTGGTTGAAGATTGAATGAAAGATTGCTTCTTTAAGAACCCATTATTTCATTAAAGTTCAAAGCTACTTTCATGATCTGGATTTTGAATAAAGTATGGATTAATGATTAAGAGAAATATATATATGAAGACACTAAACAATGCTTATGGGCAAAAATGAATAATGTTTTGTCTATAGGCTCATCACCGTTCGAAAAAATCGGGTGGTTTGCCTTTTTTGACTACCACGGACCTGATATATCCGTGGCGGTACTGTCACGGATATACTAGGTTTGTGACAGTAAAAAAATCAGACGGAATACGTTGTCAGTTCAATAAACTGCCATGGACATAGCAAGTCCGTACCAGTGGTGAAACACTATAGCATTTTGCTTATAGGCGTTTTTAAGGCTTATATATATATATATATATATATATATATATATTCACTTTATCTATGCTATCTGTATAATCGAGTCTGTTGCTTTGTTACTTGATCATGTATGTTGTAGCCTACGAGCTACTAAATCGGTTTCGGATATGCACCGAATTATGTTGGCTCTTCCAAGTATTGCCCATTTTGTTTTTTTGGGCAGTCGTTACTATTTTTTTGTTTCTGGAGAAGATTTAAAGTTTTTGTCTGTTGCTCAAGCTTGCTCTATTTCAGCCTTGTGTTTATGAGACTTGTTGATCTGCAGTTGCTTGAACCTGCCGTATTCTGTTGTTCCTATGTGCCTGTTGATAAAGTAATCTAAGCATGTAATTGCTTCAATTGGTCACACTAGGCCCCTGAAGACTTGCTTGTTTCCGTAACTTAGTGTTAAAACTCCACCTGCTCTCTTTGATAGCATCTTGAGTTTGAAGGAAAGTGTGAAAGGAAAATATATATTGTCTACCAGGTTAACATGAGAGGTGTATATTATACTCAATATATATCGCAAGAGTAGGTACAATATTTTGTATTTTATGGTAAGTTTGAGTATAATATAGATGTCTGTGATATATTTCTATTCTTATTATATGTTTTGTCTATATAAGCCAAGGTTGTACATTTATATTGATTCATAAACACTGAGTCTCTCAAGAAGATCTATGAAAAGTTGAAAATTTTGAAAATTGACGGTCCAAATATGTGTTATAAGATACACTATTTTGAAAACTTAAAATCCATTTTTTTTCTCATGTCCATGCGTATTGATGTTGAGATGATAAATTTGATTATATTTGGGCATCAAACCAACCTATTTTAATGAAGTTTTTGAGGTAAGCTTTAATTCCATTGTTTAGAGCCTCGGCTCTATATATACTTTTCCCTTTTTATATTGAACGGTTCTATGATCCCCTCGTAACAATCAATTTTTTATGGGGTTTTTTTACCTAATTTTTAAGGACGCAATGTTAGAGAGAGGAAGAAACGTGTATAAGTGTGAGTTTGTATGAGGTGTCAAACCTTTAAAATGTACTTGAAGACTACGTCGAAAATGCAACTTTTGTGACACAAGGCCTTTAAATGAAATCTGCCCCTAAATATGAAATTTCAAATTCGAGAAATGGTGGTGATAAAATAAATCTATACGTATTAAAAAAATCTTGAAAATGGACAGTCTAAATAAGATGTTAAAAGATGAACTATTTTAATACTAAAAATACTGATTTTTTTATATTTATAAATCTCTCCAACATAAAAACAACTTTCTCTGATATACTTTTTAGGTGCACCTTACTCGTACAATACAAAGTTAACACCTTGTATAAACCAACACAAACGTCTCTTGTCTCTAATCTCATATGTAAAATAAAGTTTAAGGAGCAGTGCGTTGTACAAAACTTTAGACATACTCATTTAATATAACAAAAAATATGTCAAAATAATTTACAATAAATAAAAATTAATTATATTAATATTAAGAAAAAAATTGACTAATGGCTTTTATTTTATTTTTATAACATGGACTAGTAATTCCGAAAGTATATAACATGTAAACAATATCAAAAAATTTATAATAGAAGATATTGCTAATATTATTGTAGAGCTCAAATGTACACATCTACATATTTCATATCCAATTATTGAAGACAAATGAAACCAGACCTTAAGAATTTAAAATTATTTTTTATTTGTTATTTTTTTAGTACATACGACACTTTTAGAAATTACTGCACATAAAATTTTTAGAAGTTTATTATAAATATTTTTTTAGAAGCATAATAATTCATTAAAAATAGAACATGATTTAGGTAACCAAAAAAGAAACTACAGTTTTTCATGTCCTACTTTTTATTAAATATTTCAATATAAGAAATTTGGTATTTGGTCATAAACTACTTTCAAGGAATAAAAATTTCCATTGGTTATGTTTATCTATATTAAAAATCCTAGAATCAAGCATGTTTGACATAAATAATGAAATTCAAAAGTATTTCAAATACAAAATTCTAAACTATGAATTTTTTTAAACTTGAACATATTTGTAGCAAAGATGGCAAGAAAATTCAAAATTTGGGTGACTAAAATAAAATATTATTATCTTTGCTACATATATAGCAAAAGAAATGAAATGTCGCACATGGATAGTATAGACTATCGATATTTTGTAATTTTAAAATCTTAAAAAGCAAAAATAGTCATATATGCAATTTTAGGCCATAAAAAATCATAAGAAAAAATTTAAAATAAGCGTCTAGTGTATTTAAAAATTGGAAGTTAAAAACACATTTGCTTTCTAAATTGGTGCTTTGATTTTTGCAGTATATATACTATAATGTAGTTTAAAATTTTGAAAATTCTGAATAATAAAATAAGGATATTTCAATATTAAGTTATTTGTAATTAATTTTATAAAAACATGAGAAATATTTAAAATATATCAAATCCAGCACATTTGTGCTAAACATGCACAATTTCAATATACCCCGGTCTGACATATTTTATACTGAACCGGCATAATTTTTTTTTTTTGAATGTTGCTGGTCCAACATAATTATAATGTCATAAGCTGATTTTTTGTGCCAAACTAGCACGACACAGTTTTTGATCCAGGCCAAATGTTAGGCATTATATTTTAGAAATGTGGGCAAAATAGGGGGCATTTTGGTTAAAAAACATTTATTTTTACTTGAGGTGGGTAAATAAAAAATAAAAATACTAATGTGGTTAATGGTGTAGTACGGCAAGCAATATTCGAAAGTACAAATGGGGGGTATATGTAAGTTTTTCTATTTCTTTTGGAGTGGGGGCAGAGAATACATGAGGATAGAGCACAAATTTGTGAAAATTTATGTTTGGCAACTTGGTATAAATTAATGGGAAATTATCAGATATATCCCTCATGGTTGTTTGTATTTCAAACTTATCTTTATTTTTTGTTTAATACATATATATTCATTTTTTAGCTTTTTTTTTTTTTTTATTCACTTTTCCAGACGCCTTTTAAATTTGCCCTGCCGCATTTTAAATTTCCAAGAACCCTTTGAGCCGGTGACTATCACGGACGTAGCAACTCTGTGACTGTTTATAGGCTTTCTGGACTAAGAAGCCTGATGCGCTACGGCTCTATTAGAGCCATGGCAACCGTCTCTCTCTCTTCTCTTCTCTTTCTCTCTCTAATGGTTCGTGTGATCGTTTTATGAAGGATGACTGTCGAGAATAAGGGAGCGGGGCAAACTATTGTTATCGAGGTGAAGTTAGATTCACATAGCAAAGAATTGCTCACATGGTGATGAATGGAGATAAAAGTATTTATAATAAAAATAAAAGAATGAGTGAGAGATTATACTTTCTCCCATGGTCTGCAAGGAAATCTACCCCCAACGAGATAATATAACATATATCATAGCGGGAATCCACCCCACAAACGATATTTTCACAAGACTAAAGTTTACTCAATTTCAATCTCTGTTCATTCTTTGATCCTTTACAATGAAATGACATTTTCCTTTAAATAGACTTTGAGAAGAAAAAAAAACAATCAAACAAAAACACTCTTTATCTCATGTACAATCTCTCTCTAGATCTCTCTCCCTATTTTCTCTTTCATGGAAATATCATCTCTATTAAAAGTTACGCATTATATTTGTCAATCTTTATCTTCCCCATATCTAACTTCTTTATCTTTTTCCTGTTTACATACCCATTAAATCTGTTACTAAATCTAATTAAATCTTTTAAGCAACTTTAAAATAATATAAGCTTAAAAAAAACTAACTCACACTAAGATTTACCTTTCTTGAAAATCACACTTCCATTTTCTAAAAATCTGTATCATTCTCCTGGCTTGGAAGAAGCTCAACTTCGAGCTTGATTCAAAGCGGATC